CCAGAAGAAACAGGAGAGTCAAGAAGCATCTTCTTAGCCCCAGGACTCATAACAAACTGAAACATAAGACAATTGAACGCCGACGTGGGCGACCTTTACAGGCCATCCTCCTGAAGCTCATCGGCTTCGTCTGACGTAAGTTGCCAGGGCTCGACAGGGGCGTCGAGAAGTGGTCCGGGCTAACTGTCAGGCGGCCACAAGCAGTGCGCTGCCTGAAATCCACGGTTTAGGAACTTAGCCTCAAAGACAAGTCCATGCAATGACGGTACTCTGGTTTGACCATGAAGCAAAAATTAGAGGCACCCCGAGTACCCCTAAGATTAGATATGACGATCGTTGAGACTAGCTCTCGAAATTGATAAGAAGGACTACCTTACCGCGGCGGCGTCTATCTCGATACCGCCGTCTTTAGCTTGTTTCCGGGACGGCCGCCTGCTGAACAGGAAGATGGAGATGGGCTTGGGCGTGGTTCTTTTACGCTCCACAACTGACGCAGAAGTGGGGCCTCGGATATCATCAATTTTAGTATCAAAATTAAAAAAGAGAACATGAATTAAAAACAAAACAAGAAAAGAGAAAAACAGAATATTCATTAATTTATTCAAAATCTTTGATATTTGATTTTTAATGGGACCGCCCTCAATTATTGGACTTTCTGACAATAGAGTGAAAAATAAGAAAGAGGGATCAAAGGCGATAAAAGAAAAAGAAAACAAAGAATTTTCGTTATTTRACTGAACTCCATCGAAATTTATTTTTGACAAGATTGCTTTTATTTTCGTTATTATCGATAATGGAACTAAGAAATAAGAAAAATAATTAAAAATAATAAAACGAGGAGGAAACCCACGATTTTACTTAGTTATTCGCGAGGGGTTTTAATTCCGAATCATTTATTTACCCTGATTCTAACAACTCTCTCAATTTCTCGATAATCGAGATTACCGCTTGACTTGCTAAACTTACCTGATTTGCTTAAGCGCCACATTGTTCCAATCCGGGTGTTGTGAGTGAGTGCGGGATGGATGCCTGGCGCGGGATTACCACCGGTGCTATTTTGATTGGGCTTCATTGCTTGGGTGTTACCGTTGGGTCGATTCGGGCACGGTACTCTGGCTCGGGACAGGCTCGGTATTATTACAACTCATTGTTGCACGGTACGGCACTCGACACCGAGCGGTATAATAACAGTGCAGGCGGCGGTAAATTAGAGCGTTTCTTTGGAACCAGCATTGGTACGGCCGCTAATGCAGATTGGCACAGCTATTGGATCGGCATTGACACGAACTGGTACGGTATTGGGTGGTTCGATATTGGTATGTCCTGGTATGAAACTCCGATCCACCTCAGGACGGCTGTGGTTCATTTGTTCGGGGGTACTGATTTTCTTTTTCCATGATAATTGGCTRGAGAGGATTATTTCAGTCACTRCAATTATCCCGCCGACATGGTTTGACTGTGKGAAATAAGCGACGACGGCCGGCTGCATTGGCTTTTGGTACCTTTTACCGYGGRCCCTGAATTTATATCGGTGCTGYTGGGTTCGTGAMYTGCTATTACCAGGCCAAAAGYCTGGGTTTTGGTGACACTGTCACTTGAAGAAAGGCMTATGCCAAACCTATAGCCCTGGTASCSCTGGTACCGAGGGGCTAGCWCCYGTTTCAGGGTGGGCGCTGAAAGAAGGGGAGAGATTCGAAGGTAACCATGCCGCAGCTCTCACATGGGGATATAGAGCGACAAACGGGACACCAAGGGAGGAGTGCGCCAGGTGTACCCARCGAAGAATCGCGTCTGAAGGGGAAAGGGGTCAACGAGCCGCAGGGGACAGCGTGCTCGGCGTACACCTCAGCCAGCACAACGCGTTCAAGCAAGGRAGAAYGACGMGCCAAGGGRGCRGCAGCGAGAGAGATTGAGACAGATGAGACGGGGGCAGTCTCGGATGGCAYGCCAGGAGTGGCCAGCGTCAAGCARTTGCGGAGTGAGGGACGAGCTYGGGGCGGAGACGCGTCGGCGCTCAGGCGGTTACTTGCGTGTGTGAGAGAGAAGGAGACTGCACAGCGGGAGCGAGAGACTGTGTGTGTCCGAGAGAGAGAGAGAGAGAGAGAGAGCGAGAGTGACAAAGTGGATGAAAAAAGGCCATAATACTATCATTTATTACTATGCGGTTGGTCATAAGCGCAGCCACACACATTTATGATAGAGTCTATGTGAGCATGCCCTCGGCAGGAGAAACGAGGACTGAGAGGGTGCAAGCAGATGGGGAATGCCAATGAGAGGGAAATGATTCGTGACCCTTTTCCATGGGCTTCCAGCCGCGTTCAGTAGGCGGCTCCTGGAGCAGTAAGTGATGACGCACAGTTCTGGGAGTGAATGAGAATTAGAGACCGAGGATTAGTAMGAGGAAGGGAAAGATCAAGGCTATGGCTAGTTGCCTGGCCCGTTTCGAACGTGCCCGTTCACCTGAGCAAGCTGATTGCGGTCGGCGTGAGTATGGATGTAGAGGACTTCTGCTTGAGTATGGACTAAAGTGCTGCTTGTGGATCGACTCAAACCCTTCATCAAATCGTTTCACAGCCCTGTTGTTTATAGCAGGCGGAATATCACGGACTGCTGCTTTTTCTGTGTTTGGATCAAGAGCTGCCCGAATACAGCTTTGATGACCCTGTGCTTTATTCGGATCCGTGGGAGACAGCAGCAGCACTGCGAAACAATTATTGGTTCTTTTGAAAGGTAGCTCCAAACGAAGATCCGTTTTCGCACACATAAGGGGGACTTCGAATGGCAAGGTTTGACCGTTGGGATTAACGTTTAGACCAGATTAC